ATTCATTATGGTAGGTAGATCAAAATTTATCCTATAGTTATAACAGTGTGAAAAACACTTGTTCGATAGGGCCTCCAATTTTCCGTACCGATAAGTGGGCGAGGAGGCAGTTGTAGTCCTAACCGGCGTTAAATGTAAAACAAATTTAGAAATCGATGCACTCGTGCGTCGCATCTCGTGTTTTTCTCGACCGTCGGCAAGGATTAGAATTGAACCCAATCGACCGCTCCTTTTTTACTTTTTGCTCTCGTTTCTTCCACCCCCTTCTTTTACTGCCTGAGAGCTAGGTTTTTGTTCACTATAAGAATGAACGAGGGACCGCATGGATCTCTTCATTTCTATATTCCAGATCCGTTGCAACACCGACGGCTGCATGCGTCATTGACATCAAGATAGTTTTACAGATTTCTCACTTGAACTTACCAGTGAATGTTAACTAACAGAAATTGTTCAAATTTTCAATAGGTGGCTTATTAACTGGCTTAGTCGAATTGTTCCTCGCATGCAAACTGTAGCTGTACAATGTCGCCGATTAAGATATAGGGGAACTATATTTTAAACTACAACCAATGACATAATGGCCTTTGGGAAAAGTGCTTTTCGACAAGATACGTTCGACAAGGTCAGAAAATGTTTAATGATATTATCTAATAAGACACGATTTGGAGGAGGGGAGGAGGACTCGTTAATAATGTAGTCTCCTTTAAAGGAAAAAAATGTGCACAACATTTTGTCGTCAATTAACCTAAAAATTCTCGGTGCTTATTAGCTTTTCAAGGGAAAAGGATAACGTGGGTGATTGGTTGCATTCCGCCCCTATAAACCTGATTAGCCGCGTAAGTACGGCAACGACGCACTCGCATATCGAAGGGATGGGCTAGAGTATGAGGTAGAGGCGGGCCCCCGCAAATGCGCAGGCGCTCTTACCGACAAAGTCGGAGCGGTGGCAACCCGGGCCCGCAAAGCTACAGGGGGTCGGGGGCAGGATGCGCGTTGTCTCTGGAGTGTGTGCGAGGGAGGATTGAGGGTTAACCGAGGGGAACAAGAGTACGGGGGAGGGGAGGGGGGTAGTGCACGTGCTTGGCGCGGCTGGATCGATAGCGGCGTTACGCCGACGCCTGCCGTACCGCGACGCCGTTATATGCGCGAAAAAAAAAGTACGATATTGGGCACTGACTCTCCTCCATTTCACCTCTTCCAAAATACGCTGCCCCAACACTGCAACATTCTGAGTCGTTTCTTATGTCTCCCCCTATCCCACTCAATTTTTCGTCTCGTTCCAGGCTTTGTCTTGAACTCTTTAGAGTGTGTTACGATGCGGCTTCTTTCCACTTTTTCCATCGATTTGCCAATTGAGCGCACCGATGTAGCAGCAAATGTGAAGCGGTGCTTTTATCAGAATTGATTCGTTGTTCCGAGGAAGATAGATATAAATAGATAAATAGATATATAAATCAAATGCGTAAAAATTGAGTAAATAAAAATATATTTACACGTTCCAAAGATCGTTTGGTAAAACTATCCAGTGTTAAAACTCTTAAGCCGAGCGTATAATATCGACATTTTCCACTAAATCTGAAAGTGAAACTCAATCTCAGAATTGCAAGTATTTTCTTTGAAGAAAATTCTCTCTCTCTCTCTCTCTCTCTCTCTCTCTCTGTGTATGTGAGTGTATCAAAAATAAAATTCCCATGGATTTATAACTAAGGATATTATAATAGAAATTTCAACATAAATCTCACACAATATGTATTTTAATTACCAAGCTCACTGCAGATATTTTTGAACGCAAAGAAAATGTTTTGGCTAGCTTTTTAATTTATAATTTTAAATCTTTAATTTAATTTTTATTATCTATCTATTCTATAGATCTATCTATCTATCGATCTATCTATCTATATTATCTATTTTATCTTTAATTTTTAATCTTTAATTTATATTTGCGGCATTTATTTGAAAATAAATCTTAGCATGCATAAAAGCCGTGTATAAAAGTTGAGCACCACTTAAGTCGTCCAACTGATCGTGTGTTACGGATTATGTTATTTACATCGTGAGACTGTGACTCCCTCCACTTGTTTACCCAACCATCGATCCCGATAAATCTCTCTGTGAATGATGCGCAGCTTAATCGAGAGGCTAAGATGCGATGATATGAATAAAAGAAGCAGTAGCTCATAAACGTTGGCGTAAAAATGTCCGAGTCACGGCGCTTCGATCTAGTGGCAATGACCCACTTGTCACTCAAGTTATCTTTCTCGGTGATTCTCCTCGTCTCCGTCCCCACCCTCACGCCCCATCTAAAGCCAACCGGCAATCCGGTACTTAAGGGACTGAGCACTATTGGCACTATCCACTTAAAATCACTGATTTTGTTGAGATGGCCTATACGGTATTCCTTTGGGCCGGCGTATGCTGAAAATTTTAATTAGTGGCCAAAGTCATTGAGTTGCTTAAATTTAGCAGCGGGTTTTCCAATAATTCTTTTAAAATCAGAATTCAGTAAAGAAATTTTCATAAATTGATTTATTTATTATAGTAACATAAAATGTTGATCGTTTACATGATGATCTTAAGTATTTATCTCTTTGTTTCAGTCTTTGGTGTTCTTTAAAAAAAAAGAAAAAAAAAACGAATTTTCCACGCCACTTGAGCAAACAGTATGCTCTACGAACGCTGAGTATTCCAAAGCAACCAAACTTCAATGATAAAACATCGATTCGATGTTTTGTGTATTCGTCGAGAAACTGATTATCTTATTGACATCAAATGTCACTGCATTCACATTATTATAGTTTTATATTGATTATCGTAAT